GCCGAACAACGTTTCGGTGATGTGTCTCTATGGTCACGGGACAAGCCGCGAGGTTGCACATGGTGTTCCGTGCAGGAGGTGTTTTTCCCAACCATCTTGTGGTGTTCGGTCCTCGTTTTGAAGAGACGTCGCCTTGCGTTCTCCTCCTCCTCCTCCTTCTCCTCTTCCTCTCCTCTCCTCCTCCCCCTTCTCCCCCCTCCCTGCGTTTCACCCACCCAGTACAGCGTTTCGTGGCCCCATAGGGAGCTCCACCGAAGGCGCCAGTGGCAGGGTTCGCATGGCGGCCTCGGGCCATTTCGGGACACCCCTCACGAGGATCGTGGCCCCATAGGGAGCTCCACCGAAGGCTCCAGTGGCAGGGTTCGCATGGCGGCCTCGGGCCATTTCGGCACACCCTTCACGAGGATCGTGGCCCCATAGGGAGCTCCACCGAAGGCTCCAGTGGCAGGGTTCGCATGGCGGCCTCGGGCCATTTCGGCACACCCCTCACGAGGATCGTGGCCCCATAGGGAGCTCCACCGAAGGCGCCAGTGGCAGGGTTCGCATGGCGGCCTCGGGCCATTTCGGCACACCCCTCACGAGGATCGTGGCCCCATAGGGAGCTCCACCGAAGGCCCCAGTGGCAGGGTTCGCATGGCGGCCTCGGGCCATTTCGGCACACCCCTCACGAGGATCGTGGCCCCATAGGGAGCTCCACCGAAGGCCCCCAGTGGCAGGGTTCGCATGGCGGCCTCGGGCCATTTCGGCACACCCCTCACGAGGATCGTGGCCCCATAGGGAGCTCCACCGAAGGCCCAGTGGCAGGGTTCGCATGGCGGCCTCGGGCCATTTCGGCACACCCCTCACGAGGATCGTGGCCCCATAGGGAGCTCCACCGAAGGCCCCCAGTGGCAGGGTTCGCATGGCGGCCTCGGGCCATTTCGGCACACCCCTCACGAGGATCGTGGCCCCATAGGGAGCTCCACCGAAGGCCCCAGTGGCAGGGTTCGCATGGCGGCCTCGGGCCATTTCGGCACACCCCTCACGAGGATCGTGGCCCCATAGGGAGCTCCACCGAAGGCCCCCAGTGGCAGGGTTCGCATGGCGGCCTCGGGCCATTTCGGCACACCCCTCACGAGGATCGTGGCCCCATAGTTGTGCTGCTTCAACAACCGCGCCTGGGCGTCGTATTCCGCCTTGTCGACGTGCAATGCCACCGTCTCCTCCTTGTTCTCATCCTTCACCTTGGCATTCGTCCGCAGTGAACCATTTCATCAGGATAGTATGTAATAGTAGCAGCCCATACTCCCATACATTGAGGTACTGGCTGAGGGAATCGCAAAGTCTTCCCTGCTGCATTGTAACTGAGAAAGTCTTGTTGCCTTCAGTGCCCTCTCGGCGACGAAAGGTTCAACAATAGCATATATGTGAGGAACTACCAGTATGTACACTGATGATCCACTCTGTGTCTACCATAACATATGAGAAGTCAACCTTGATGTAGCTCATGTTTGATTCCAAGAGAAAAAACTGCCGTTGGCTGCCTCTTCAACTGATAAACCATATGAAGCTGCCCTCGCATGCAATGCAAGGGGCCAATATACAGTGGACAAACGAAAATATTTGAGCCCACCATGTCTCAATAATAAGTAATCACAGCGCCGACCGAGGGGGAGCACGCTCCGTCGCGATTAAGGCATCGTGGCCACCAGTAATGGCCCTACGGGTCCTCCCCCTCGGCGATAGTCAATAAATGCATCCAGCAACCCAAATGCATCCAGCAAAACCAGACTCACCGCCACCCCTACGCGCTGTTGTCCTGCGAGCGACCTAAGTCCAACAGGCAGGTGCACCTGAGGGGTGGGCAGTGGCTGTGCGACTAAACCAGGTAGTTAGCCTGGATTTTGCGTCCTAACGCCCTCCACAAAGAGCGGCAGTAAATTGCTGAAATCTTCTAGTCGGTGCTGTGGAGCCACAAAGAGTACAAACCAATTCCTTGTCCTTTTGGTCCGCTCGATAATGTGTGAGAACGTGACAACGGTTACCTGGAATCTTGGTCCTCTTGTTATGCTCATCCACCATGATTACGTAGTCAGCAGCGGTACGCTTCTTGCCAAGACGTGGGCCACGTGGAGCTCCAGGTTGACAAAGATGGCGCGACCATGAGCCAAGCTGGCTCACTTTTGACTCGAGTTTGCAATTGACGCACACCAGTTTGGCAGGTTGATCCTTGTTCGGCCCCTTCAGAGGGGCAAGCACATGATATCCCTGTTGGCGTGCCTCTCGGTTATGCAGAAGTCTTTTCTGCTCGTTCTGAAGATCTCGGCCTGTGAGGCCCTCCCAATCTTTCTTCTCCTCGTCCGTCCAAGTGATGGTAGCTCGCATGACCTTGACAGTAGTGACATGATGAGCCCGTCGCACCACAGAGACATGTTCAGCTGCAGCAGCGGCCCTTGCAACAATGTCGCTTGGCCTCACCGTAGTTGACAGGTTCTCGGCTAGCTTCGGAGGTTGCCATATG